TTGCAAGCAAAGGATGAGTCTTCTTTGAGTGCTGTGGTATTTTACCTAAAGATATTTTGTTAGAATGTCATCAGTACAACATCACTGTTTTCTTCTGTAATTTTTATCTAGTATAAAATCCTGGTGGCCTAGTAGTAAGGAGTTGTGCTGCCAACGCAAAGGCAGGTGGCTTGAATCCACCAGCTGCTCCTTCTGGTCTACAGCCTTTGAAAAGTCACCAGAGAATCAGCTGGGAGTTGGTTCCTTAGGACAGGGGTCCAGCGATGGGAGAATCACCTTTTATGGGTGAGCACAACTACATTTCAAAACCCAAGTCAGGCACTCGGATATGTCCATGTCCCCTACTAATCTTGCTGTCCTGATGTCCTTGGTCTGTCTGGCAGAACTCTTACCCTAAGAATTATTCACGTAGTTGATCTCACAGCATTGAAAGCCTGACGATTGTGGAACTAGCAGATGCTGTGTTATCTTACAAAAACCAAAGATGTTGAGAGGGAGCTACTTTTGAGAACATGCTGGAGGCCGGCAGGTGGGCCGTAACAAGCTGCTTCTGGATGGAACCAGACAGGATTTCATCCATTATGTGTGCGGCCCACCAGAGTTCTCTAAGGAATTCTGTGAATGGGGGAGTTCTCGTTAAACACTGCACTTGGTATGTCTGACACAAGGAAATTTGTGAACTGACAGTTCACCACTGGGATCATTTGCAGTGTTTGTAGCAGGAAGTCACACTTCTTTTGATAAAACTGAAAATGAAAAGGAGTCAAAGATGGGTGACTTTAATCTGCAGCCCTCAGGCCTTTCTTCAATTGTTTTTAGTCAAATATTCTTATAGGTGATATAGCCCTGGTCTGTCCACTTGCTGTACAGAGGTCATTCGTGGTTGCTGTGAAGCTGAACCCTGTGACACTGATGTGTCAAATGTGATAATGGTTATCCATAGTGGACAGTGTTTGGTGGCTCTCCCAGATTAAAACAAGCTTGGAAAGCAGGAGTGGCATCCACTTCTGAAATAGCTTGTCTCTAGAAACTCTATGAACTTGGAGAAATGATGAAAGTTATACAAGTGTTCAGGTCTTTTGTTCATAGGGTCAATATGAGTTGCCTAGGAATCACGGACTCATGACACTTAACAACAACAATGTTTATTGAAGGTGCCCTGAGGGCATAGTGAGTAATGAATGAACCTATTAACTGAAAGGTCAATGGTTCTAATGCACAAGCTGTTCTGAGGAATAAAGATGGGAAGTTTCCTCTCATAAAGCTTTCCATCCAGAGCAACCCAGTGGAAGGTCACTGTGAGTCAGAGTCAATTCCACAGCATTGCTTTTGGATTTTTGTTAAAATCTGAGAATCCGTGCAGATGTCTTATTGTATATTTTACACTTTGTTAATACTTCGGTCTCTTTCTCTCTTCCCTCTTATTTTTCTCGCGGCTTCTGAAGATATTTTATAGAGTAGTCGCCGACATTGCACCAGGAGAGGAGCTCCTCTTGTTCATGAAGAGTGAAGAGTACCCTCATGAAACCATGGCCCCGGACATCCACGGTGAGTCGCGCTCCCTCCCACGCCACCTCACTGCGGCCCTTTGGGACCCTCGGAAGTAGCATCCGAAGGGGTCCCTCTCACTCTGCACGTGCTTGTCTCCTGGCTGGTCGCTGCCACGTGTACCAAACGCCTCCTCTCTGAGAGGCTGTTTTCTTCATTTGACATCAAGGTGAAGCTGAAGAAGGCAAAGCGTTTCCCTGAAGTGAAGGTCAAAGGATTTTGTGAATAATATTTGGACAGAGAGGGGGTCACCGTGAGGTTGAGCTGTGCCTTAGACAGATGAGTGTCCTTCCATCTAAGCAACTTGATTTGGGGCGTTTTCAGACACTGCACATGTCAGACCCTGATGGGGGGACAAATGTTTCCACTGGAATAAATCCTAGCGAGTGACCATATTGTGGGGAGTTGTTTAGAAGTGAGGCAGAGAGGAGGGAGTTTGAGAGTCAGATGGGCTTTCGTTTGCCAAAAGCCTATTCTAAATCAAAAGAAGGGAGTCATAAAGGGAATTGTAATTAATATCAGTGCATGTTTAGGGCAGAAGAAGAGAAAATTCTGTCTGTATTTGTATTTTTTTGGGGTGAGAATTTATTTCTTTTTCTTTCTTCTTAATAGAGTGTGATTTGTTCAACCTACTCCAGTCGTTTCTTTAGAACATTCCAGAGCTGGAAGGAGTAGAGAGAGTGCATCCGGGCTTCCCAGCGGAGGGGATCCCTCCACCAGCTTCCTCAAGCAAATTCCCTCCTAGGGGGCTTCCAGCCTCTGCTGCTGGGCCTCCTGGGAAGGAAGCTCTTGTTGGTCAGACCGCACGTTACTTCACAGTTCTTTTCCAGTTGGCATAACTGCTTTCTGCCTCTTTGTAGATTGTACCAGCTGTATTTGAGGGGGCCCTTCTTGTGTGATTTTTGTTTTCATTTTAGAAGCTCTGTCAAACAAGTGACTTTGGAGCTTGGAGTTCTCAGTCGGCCTGTTGAGGGTCTAAAAAGTGAATGGGGAGTCTGCTCCCCTGGGAAAATGGTCTCTTACTCACTCTTGTTGGCAGGTTTTTTAGATCGTGGAAAATTATAGACCTTTTCTTTCAAGCAATTCTTCTTTTTTTTTTGTGGTTGTTGCTGTGTGCCTTTGAATTGGATCTGACTGGCACAGGAGGAGATTGCCCCTTGTCTCCAGCAGAGTATCTGGTGTATTAGAACCCTGTGCCTTCAGGATTGCAGCACAGCTTCTTGCCACTAGGCCACCACAGCTCCCTTAGATTATAGAACTTTTCTAGGGCAGCATATCTCTTGTCAGCAAACCTGCTAAGTCTGAAAAGTGTTGCCAACGATTATTTTAGTTTTTCCACCTCCAGATAAGTCTAAGTAGAGTGGCTATTCTTCTTTTCAGTTGTTGTTGTGTACTGAACCAACCCATCACTGACCCTCCAGCAGGTTCTCAGAGACAATTAATCACACGGGAGGAGATTGTCCGTCCTTCTCCTGTGGAACAGCTCATGGCCTCCAACTGCCTGCCTTTGGGACTGCAGTGCAGTTCCTTGCCCCTCGGCCACCTGAGCTCCAAATCACCTACCTTTTTACCTATCTTTAAACCCTATCTATCTTTAAAGCCTATCAGTGCCTTGTGTAGGTCATAAGTTTTTCCAAGAAAGAGAAAGTAAAAAAAAATAAAATAAAATAAATAAAAAACCGTATATCGCACATCAGCTCGTTTAACCTTTAAACGTAGATACAATTTGAAAAAAAAAAGCATTCTACCCATTTTACAGAGGGGAAAACTAAGGTTACAAGGCAACATAAATTGAGCAATGTCATATGGTTAGTCAGTCATGAAGTCAGCGTTCAAATCAAACTCTTCTTGTGACTAAACTCTACGTCTTGCCATGCCATGTGACTTATATGTTCTTTTTGCTTTAGGATCTTGTTAAGAGCCTGTGTATTATAGTTAAACATAGGAATAGTGTTGAAAACTGTAGGCCAGCTTCTATTACCTAAATATTGCTGAGAATCCTATCTTTAATCTTTAATTTTATCTTTAATGTTTTAGTTTAGAATTCTTTTCCTGAGTTCTGGTGGACTAGTAGGTCCAGGGCTGCACTGCCAAGTGCATTTGATTTGAATCCATGGGAGAAAGATGGACAGTTGCCTCCCGTGTGATATACAACTTCTGAAAACCCACTGGATGGTCAGCTGTGGGTTGGTTCTAACTCCATAGCAAGGACTTTCTCTTTCCTTTTTCTTCACCCTCTGTTACCAAAGTAAAGAAACTCTTTCAGAGCTGTTCTTAACTTCTTCTCCTTCGTGGTGCCCACGAATATTGACTGAGTTCTAAACTTCTCACACTTGCAGCAGGAGGAAACTCGGCCACCCAGCAATCTGACCATGCCTTGCTTTCCAACTCTCAGTGGCTTTCAGTGACCCTTGTTATCATGAACCTAAAAGCACCTAGTGAGCTAGTTTCATTTCATTCTTTCCTCTTACTTTGCTTGATTTTATAAACCTATTTCTATTTCATGGCAGCTGTACATGTCTAAGATCTTGCCTTGTTCTTTTGTGCCTTTATCATTGGTCCACACCATTCATGCTGCCTCTTCCGTCTTCCCACCTCTCTTCCTGGCTCTTCAAAAACCCTTTTCCTGAACTTCCCCTATGAAGTAGATTAAGCCTGTTTTTCTGGTTTCCCTTAGACCTCTAAGTACATCTGTTATAATATGCACCCTACTGTTTGTTCATATGTCTATCTCCTTGTCTGTAAATGTCTTGCATACTCATTCCCTACAGTATTTAGTTCTAGTAGATAACTAAATAATTCCCTTAAGTGGGTTGAGCTGTCCCTGAGTAACTTCTTGGACTGTAGGTTTATAAAAGGGGACTATGAATCATCTAGGTCTAAATCTTTATAGCGTGATTTGTAATCTTATGACCCTCAGGGCTCAACACTATTCATATGGGAAGAACCGAAGCCTAATATTGGCACTGACCTGACATGTTATAGCTTTGTTATCTCGGATCTTCACTGCAAGCATTTCTTTATCTCGCCAATTTAAAGTGCAAATCCATGGTGTATTTGCTGTTTGACAAAGCTTCAGCATTTAGCACTGACCCTGGGGTAACATAAATAGCCCAGTGGGTACTAAGAACATCCTGTGTCCCGTGATAAGTAATGATGGATGTTACAGCATTTCCTAGTTCACTGATTTTGACCAGGCTTAAATTTGGTTCAGCTGGGGACTGGATTCAACCATGCCGTCAAGGAATCGTGGCATAATGAGAGATGCATGGGGCAGAAGTGAGTTCTGGTTCTAGCACAACCTGGAGCTAAAAATCCCAAACGCCTTTATGTGCCATTTCTGAGCCTCTATGCCCTCTGAAAATGGAAATAAAAATCCGACCTCTACTTCCTTATTATGATTTAAGGAATATCAGTAATCCACATACCAGTGTGAGAAAGCAGATGAAAATTAGGAAGTGATCCTTACTTTTTTTTAACATGCTATATAAATCCAGAAGAGTTTAGTTAGAAATTTTCATGAGAAATTATAATGAAGCCCTTGTGTTGTTTTGCCAGACCCTATCTGGGGTCTAGTACATGTAACATTCTTAATTTATATTAAAATGCAGGGGTATAAATGGAAGTCAAATCATTTCGCTTATGATTTCTGTGTCTCAGTGAGATCTGCTGATGGGTGCTGTCCCTTCCTAACTTTCCCATCCGAGTAACATCTGCATTCTTTTCACAGAAGAGCGCCAGTATCGCTGTGAGGACTGTGACCAGCTCTTTGAGTCCAAAGCTGAATTAGCAGACCACCAGAAGTTCCCGTGTAGTACTCCGCACTCAGCGTTTTCAATGGTGGAAGAAGACTTTCAACAAAAGCTCGAGAGTGAGAATGATCTCCAAGAGATACACGCAATCCAGGAGTGTAAGGAATGTGACCAAGTGTTCCCCGATTTGCAAAGGTTAGAAATGGCATTCGGCTCCACCAAACTTGTTTATTTACTTTGCAATAGAATGCTGTTACGCTGAGCTTTCAAAGTGTGTGCAGATGGGGAAGTTTTGCAACTGCAATGACCCAGGCCTGTCGATGTCTTACTGACGTGTTCAGAATTGTTCTCTCTGCCCTCTGGAAATTCTCATCTGCGAAAAATATCTATGATGAGGTTGGAATTAGTTGTTTTGATGCCAGATGGAAAAGACTATGCTGCATTATTATTTAAGTAATGTTATCAGGAACTCAAAGCTTAGTAAAATTATGATTTAGAGAAAAGCCACGAGTCCTGAAACAACAATGTGGGTAATTAAAGTATTCACATGCCAAGCAACAGTAGCTCCATCTCTCGGAATGTTTAGATCTTGGTGGCAAAGACTGTTTTGGAACTCAGGAGATGGAAAAAACAAAAGGAAGATCATTGTAACCCATCAATTTCATTTTTAATAATTTATCCAACTGCACATATAGAGAAGAATAAGAGACATGTAATTAGTTACAAATGTTGAATTTCTAAATGGAAAAAACCAAATATGACTATCTAAATGAAACAGTCCTTTATTACTTATTTTCACAAAATGAAAACTGTATCTCAATCATACATTTACCCTCTGTAGCCCTTTGAACTTAAGACCAGTTTTCTTTTTTTTAAAACAAAATTATTATTATTAATTTTAATGAAAGTTTACAGAGATTGAGGATTTCCATTCATTCATTGTTGCACTTTTCTCCCTGCTCACCCCTCCCCTCAATTCGCTCTTCTCTTTGAAAAGGGAAAGAAAAATTCTTTCATTGTTATACAATCCCTTCCCTCAAGTCCACTCCACTATGCAGCCTTTGTTCTGGACTCCCGTCATGACAATAATACCTAATCACATATCCCTTTTAAACAGTTTTAAGACCAGTTTTCTTTTCACATTTCTATTTTAAAAACACAAATCTTGAACCTATTTGAAAATAATAATTATACTACGAAATAATTCTTTAAGATCTGTGATTATACAGCTATTTGATGTGGGGATTTTTTTTTTAATTTTTTGTGTGTTTCCAGTAGTTTGCAGCTAATGGCTTTGGCTTAGTTTACAATTTAAATACTTAAACTCATTACTTTGCTATCATCAGAATTTAAAATGGGTAGCATGTCAGTGTTTAAAAAGGCCTGGTAGTCTAAGAGGAGCACTGTCATCCCAAAGGCAAGTGGTTCGAATCCACAGGAAGAAGATGAGAAATCTCCCCTATGTGACTTATAGTCTTTGAAGACCCACTGGAGAGTCAATGTCTTGGTTCCAACTCAGCAGAAATGAGCTGTTGTTTGTTGTTGAGTGCAGTGTAGGAGCTGGTAGTGCTCAATTGGCATTACCAAAGTCTGTGATTCCTTACACCTTCCTTATCTCAGTCTCTGATTTTGTTTCCTTTCCTTCCTTGGTGGTATCTTCCTCTTCTGTTGATGGCTCAGGATTCTCTTCCCTTGCTTGGGTGCCTTTAAAAAGCTCTGATTTCACATCAGAATCATTCACTTTAAGGCACATATAACTAGCTGGTAGAGAAAAAACATTTTGAGAATTCAGATCACCTTCCCAGCACCTTTGAAACAAATGTTAACCACATACTCTAAATCTGCGTAGAGAATATGTGCTATGCATGGTTTGCTAAAGCATGAGTTTGGAATCAGCAAACATCGCAGTATGTTTCCCAAGCATAATCATGCCCAAACATTAAAAATGAAAGGAAACTAATAAATACCGATGGTCAAAGAAATATTTATTCTGTAGTCTCTCTGAAATCAGAGATTAAGTACTTCCTTCATATTTTTAACAAAAAAAAAGATCAAATGCATTAAGATAGCAGATTAAACAGTGTAATTCTGATTTCTTAAAGCCTATCAACACTTCTTAGATGAGGAAAATGTCTTTGTCCAAGTCATTGTAAAATTAAGCCAAAGTCAACTCTGTTTAGTGTTAGCATAAATTCTTAAAGTCTCATTGATTCAGGAGAATTTTATAAGGAATCCTAGTTACCTGTTGTTGACTAACTCTCAAAATTTACTGTCAGTTACCTAGCCAGACTAAAATTATAAACTGGGGTGGGGGGTTTGTTGTTATGAAATCCATAATTTAACCACATGCAGAACCTACATTGTTTGAATCTTCTACTTTCTTGAACACTATACTGTTACTTTATATTTTCGGCAAATGAAAATTCCATTCTTGATCTAACTGTATTACTGTTTCATATCTTTTATACAAAGTACTGAAAAAAAAGCAAAATAATAAAAGAAATAAGGAAAAAGATCTATATGCAAAAAAATGAAAAACAATAGAACCTTAAAATATTGATTAAAGTTCTCTAGGTTGGGATAAAATTCAGTGAGAAGTAAAAATCATATTAATGACTGCCTGGGTCAATTCTATGCTTATTAAATCATCCCAAGTTTGCTTTTTCAAGAAATACTTGCCATTTTTCCCCCCTTACCAGTTAGCTGATATCTTATAATTCTATTGATAATATTAATTTTCTGTTAAGAAGAAAAGGAAAGGAAATTCCCTTTGCTTTGCTATTATCATTCCATCAAAGTGCTGTCTACTCGAAATCTACACTTTTAACTATATACCTACCAGTCACTGGGCTATGGGACAGGAATAAGACTTGTAGTATTTTGACACTCGAGTTCCTGATTTGATGTATAGCGTATTGGAACATATGTCACAGAATGGTTTGTTTTCAGGGGTTGCTAAGAACAGTCAGTAACAATAATATCCTGTTCAGTGATTTTGGAATAAGTCCCTGACTCAGTTCAATGTCAACTGCAACCGGCGATCTATCAGTCTTAAGTCTTTTATTAACATTTCATCTTCTGTAAGGAACAGAAGACCACACATTGCCGATAAGGGGAGGGCCTTTCTTGTGACTCCACGCACCTGTACTCTCAGGGAATATTTTGTTCAAGGTGATAGGGCAAATGTGTGATTAACTCGAATGGCAGTGCCAACCAGAGTGACTCAGAAGGAGGAAGAAATAAGCTTAAAAGGTAATATGAAGAGAGTTACAGGGAGGAAGTTGAAGAAGAGAAAAAGTGTGCGGAAGTGTTTGCAGTTTACCAAGATTTGTGGACGGGCTTTTCCCCTCATACATAATCTCAAGCACGCAGTCCATATATAGATTCTAGGTACCTTGAGCTCTGCTCGATACCAAAACTCAAGAGTTCTCATTTTCACATAGACGTGAAACAGGGAAAAGAAAAAGAATTTTCATGCTGGTTGCTATCTATTTCCATGCTGGTAGATTTTTTTTTAATTAATATTTTGGTATGAAGATTCCAAATATTTGCAGAATTAGAGAATGTGGTGTAATAAGAGCCCTTTACGACCTCTCAGCTTCAGTAACTAACCACCAGTGCAGTTTAATCTCAGCTCGACCCTTCATATATTATTTGAGACAAATCCTGGGTGTGATACAGTTTTATTTATAAGCAATTGAGTATGTTCTTTGGAAAGGAAGAAAGTTTCCAATGTAAATTTTCATACTACATTTAAAAATAATTCCCCAGTGCAACAATGAATGACTGGAGACCCTAAGTCTTTGTAAATGTTCATTTAAATTAATAGGAAAAAAAAAGTGTTAAAAAATTTAAAAAAGAAAACATAAAAAAAATAATTCCCCAAGATTACCAAGTACTGTTCAAATTTCTCAAGCAACTTTCAAGTTTCTAAAGTTTTTTTAAGGGCTTAGGTGAAAATTTTAATAAAGTTCACATATGACAATTGGTTGTCATTTTTAACATTCATTTCAAGCTGTGGGTCCCACCCTGTCGGTTTATCTGTCTGCCTCTCCACCTCTCTCGCACTCTCCCATTGCAATTTATTTATAGAAAAAGACCGAGTTGCTTTCTTGTAGCGTTTCCTCCAGTCTAAATTCTGCTGATGCTTTCTATCCCCTTCGTGTTGTTTAGCATCTTTTCCCATCATCAATATTTCCTGGAAACTTATATGCTCAAACCTCACTCTGATTTAGGTCCAAGGTTGACGGAGAAAATCTCTCATTGGTGATGTCATATATTTCCATCAGGAGACTCAGAATCAATTGATTGGCGAGACTCACTAGTTCTTTAGGGGCTACAACATGTTTGAATTCTGGTTCTATCCTGTTAACATTTGGGCTGGTTCTTAGCAGAGGATTTCTCCTTCTCTATGTGGTTCCTCTCAGGACTGCTCCCACAGAAATGACTGGACACATGCTTAAGTTTTCCTCTTTATCATTTTCAGAAGAGTGTTTTGGGTTCCACCCACTTTCAGTGGTGATCGGGTGAGGTTCTGTGAGTGTGCTTTTATGGGGTATTGTTAGAATTAAAAGGCTTTTGAGTCTTACTGAAGCGAACTCCAGTGGCATGGTACGTAGGAGGTTGTGCTGGTAACTCAGAGACAATTCTAATCCAGCAGAGACTCTGCAGAGAAAAAAAAAAAGATAGGTAACCTCCTCCTGTGTGATTTACAGCCTTGGAAACCCATGGGAGGGGCAGCTCAAAGCAAGGAGTGTTGGCCATTGTGAGCCTCTTCAGAAGGACACCTTAATATGGTTTATACTTGAAATCAGCTCTTTGTTCAAGGACTTCTAATTAGCGAGTGTAGCATCTTAGTGTGCATGTCTGTGTATAATTGATCAACAAGTCTGTTGCATATCTCTTCTGATCATCATAGCAATCCATAGTCTATATTTGCTTTTAATTGCATGCACACAGCTTTCTTATATAACTTTTAGAAAAGTGAGGGGGAAATCTCTGAAAAGGGGAAACTAAGTTTAAAACAGAGAAACTTTGCTTGTGAGAAACTTCTAGCCCTGTTATTTTCTTCTAAGGTGCTTTACTGGTGAATTTGCTTAAAATAATATCTGCATTGTTTAATCCTTAATGAATAGATTTTATATATTTGGGTGTGTATGTATATGTATATGAGAGAGAATCTACATTGAATAGATGCATTCTATGTGTATATACATATATGCTTTCTCTGTGTTAGAATGCCCATACATACATTTGTCCTTCTATCTATCCAGGTACCCAAACTAGGATTGTGTTGAAAAGTTCCTTGTTAGTGGTTACCTTTTAGCTCACCTTCCCATTGATGATGTGGAGAGACTAAAAAGACCATCTTAAATTTAGAAGTTAAATACATTAGACAGAATGCCCGTTTGTATAGTCTCCAACATTTTTTTTTAGATTTTTTTTTTATTGTTTTTATGTGAGTGTACCGTCAAATCAGATCTGACTGGTACAGGAGGAGATTGTCCCTCCTTCCTCGGCAGAGCATCTGGTGGTAGTCTCCAACATTTTTGTAACATTTTCTGTTTGAGTGTTTTTTCACCAAGTGATTTGTGTTGCTCTTAATGATTCTATAGTGATTCCAGAAGTTGTGTGCTCCGTTCCTGGCTTGGCAGATAAACCCTGGTAGCAGCATCAGATTTATTATTTTTTTAACCGAGACACTTCTCTGTCTGGGGGAGAGGCACAGTCTAGGAAGCATGAAATGTGCTTTTGTCTGTGACAAGCCTGTGTCTTCTTTCTCTTTCCTCACCTCAGCTCCTTTTCCTTCTCAGTTTTTTTTTTTTTAATTGCCAGTTGGGTTAGTATTAAGGTGACATTCTGTTTATGAATGTGTTCTTTGTCACCATGTGTTATTGAATCAATTGTTCTTTTAACAGCCTGGAGAAACACATGTTGTCACATACCGAAGACAGGGAGTACAAGTGTGATCAGTGTCCCAAGGCGTTTAACTGGAAGTCCAACTTAATTCGCCACCAGATGTCACATGACAGTGGAAAGCACTATGAATGTGAAAATTGTGCCAAGGTACAGTGAATTTGTAGGCTACTCGACCTCCCTCTCATCCTGCTTTCTTAGAATCCATTACTTGCTTACAATGTATGCAACAAGCCTTAAGAGAGGAGACTATAAATATCTTGAGAAAAGTATTCTGAGTGTTAGTGTTGTATGCTAAAAGGCATTAGTACAGTGTATAAAAATACTTAGTGGGTGTCCTTTTATTTTTGTAAGGGAGGGAGGAAGGCTCATTGGTGCGTTCCAGAACTAGGTGTCAGACATCCTTGGTAAATTCCTGGTTCCGCTACTGACTTGCCAGTGTGGGGTTCTTTTATAGCCTTGTGGAGAATGAAAATGTATCCAGTGCACACATTACTGATTTCTTTTAATAGTTTGTGAGGAAGTCACATAAAGTATCTGAATGCCTATTCAGAAAGAACAGGAGACCTCTAAATTTGCAGATTTTTTTTTTCCTGGCAAGTCCCCACTAAAATTCATGGCTTAGTTCTAAATAGAAAGGGTAGATTCTCAAAATTAGTGACTGGTTTGAAGAATCTCAAGCTGAAATGAAAGCAGTTCCCTTGGACCGTAACTGTCAATATACTAACAGCATGTCAGGTCTTCTTATTCTCATGTTCCTCCATTAAAGGGGGAAAATGATGTCCTGATGTCTTTAAGTTGCTTTCTATTTCCAGAGTGAAACAGCTGTAGCATTTGAATACCTTTTTCCATGTCAGTTGGAATTGTAGCATTTGAAATTATCTCTTGGACTATTTTTATTCCCAATAATGTGGTGACTTTTCTACTTCTTTAGGACAAGGTCTGTAGGTCTTTATTCAAAGGAATGATTTTAGTTTACTGGTAACTTAATGAAAGAGAGTATTAGAATTTAGTTCTTATAAGAGTTCTTTGCAATAGGTTGGAATAGTTTAGTTAAAAGCTCTCATAATGTGCCTTTGTTTAAAAGATGCAAAATAGCACATTCATTTTAGTAATGGCATGACCAGAATTCTACTTCTTTCTAGTCACTCTATGTGAGACTAAAAAGCCTTACAACACCATCCTTTATTTTGCTTAACTGACACCTCTGCGTACATTGTGCTAAGAATGGAAACATTTGCCATGACATTGATCCTGACGCAGAGTGATCTCATGTGTGTCAGAGTACAGTTCTGTTACATAATATTTCATTGGCTGGGTTTTTTTTTTTTTAAGTAGATTACCAGGCTTTACTTCCAAGGCACCTCTTATGGGAGGAGGAGGGTTAGGGCCGGGCTTGGCAGGTCATGCTTAGGAGCTAAGCACATTAACTACACCACTCGTGAGACTCCACTAAGAACATAGGCTTCAATAATTTACTGGGCCTTATCCTGAAGCACTTGTTGCAGAAAGTCAAAGACTGTTGTCTTCAATATGGATTGAAGCTCAATTTCCAGAAGACAAAGATTCTCACCACTGGGCTAACTGGCAGCACCATGGTTGAGGGAGAAGCCATCAAGGTTAAGCTTTATAGCTCTCTCGGCTCCACAATCGACACTCTTGAAACCAACAAAACGTAAAGCAAAAGATGAATTGCCTTAAGTAAATCTGCTGTCAGGGACCTTTCTAGAGTACTGAGAAGCAATGATGTCAGTGTAGAGACTAAGGTGCACCTGATCAAGTCCATGGTCTTTGCAATTACTTGCTATATGCATCAGAGAGCTGGATAATCACTAAGGATGACAAAAGAATCAATGCCTTTGTGTTGTGTTGCTGAAGAAGAGTCTTGAACATACCATAGGCTTCCAAGAAAACAAATAGGTCTGTCTTGGAGAGGATGAAACCATGTTTCTCCTTGGAGGTTGGGATTTTGAAGCTCCGTCTCACATACTTTGGGCATGTGGTCAGGAGGCACGGATCCTTGGAGAAGGACATCATGCTCAGAAGGGTGGAGGGACAGCTCAGGAGAGTAAAACCCCAGATGAGATGGATTGATACAGGAACTAGGGCAAAGAGGGTAGGTGTGCTGGAGTCAGTAAGACTGGATCATGACAGGGCAGGCTTCAGAGCTATTATGCATAGATACGGTCACTATGAGTCGCAGGCACATAACAACACAAACTCTAGAGAAAAGGGAAGAGGGAGCTCTGGTGTCCTAGTGGATAGAGAGTTGTGCTGTGAACTCTAAAGGCAGGCAGTTCAAATCCACCTACTCCTCCAAAGGAAAAAAGCTGAGGTGTCTCCTCCCATGTTATCTACAACCTCTGAAAAGCCACTGGAAGGTCACATGTGAGTCAGTGTTGACTCTACAACAGTGAGTTGATTTGTTTGACTTGGGGCAGGGGTGAGTGGAGAAGCCCAGGGGCAAAAGGATAAGTCAGCTCTCGGCTGGTAACCAATTAAAGAGTTGTTGTTATTAAGTGCCATAGAGTCTAGACAACTCAACAACCCTATGAACAAAAGACCTGGACACTTGTATAACTCTCATCATTTCTCCATGTTCATAGGGTTTCCTGAGATAAGCTATTTTGGAAGTGGATGCCACTCCTGCTTCCAAGCTTGTTTTAATCGGGGAGCTCTGTCAAACACTGTCTGCCATGGGTAATCATTATTGCATTTGGCACATCACTGTCACAGTCTTCAGCATCACAGCAACCACGAGTTACCTCTGTACAGCAACGCACAGACAAGTGCTATGCCACTTAGAAGAATGTTTGACCTTTGACTGAGACCTGGTGATTTATTGCCAGAAAGATTCCTCTCTCCTAGCAGATCCCAGTGAGTCAGATCCAACCAAATAACACATAACACCAACCCTAGAGGAGAAAACCGCGGGTGGCTCAGATAGTTAAGTGTTCATCTACATGCTGGAAAGCTGATGGTTCAAGCCTAGACAGTGGTGCCAGAGAAATCAGACCTGGCAGTCTGCTTTGAAAAGACCTTGGTTCTGAGGACTCCGTGGAGCATTTTTCACTGCTCACACAAATGAACATTTCATAGACTCTGGACTTGTTCTCAGGAGGGGCTGGTCCTTGGGAGAAAAGACAAAAGTCTGGGAAAGGTAGAGGGTGAGATTGGGGGTGAGGGAGAAGGCAAAGAGTGAGAGAGAGTGAGAGGGAGGGGGAGAGAGGAAGAGAGAAAGAGGGAAAGAGTGAGAGGGAGAGAGAGATAGGGAATGGAAGGGAGTGGGAGGGAGAGAGAGAACAGAGAGGGGGGAGAGGGAGAGAAAGAGAGAGGGAGGGAGAGGGAGTGGGAGGGAGAGAGGGAGAAGGAGAGGGAGAGGGAGAGACAGAGGGAAGGAGAGGAAGAGAGAGGGAGAGAAACAGAGCTCCAGGGAGAAGCGTTGGTACAGTGGCTGTCCCCATGAGCTCGGGCATGTCTGAGGTCAGGAGGATGGCACAGGATAGGGCAGGGTTCATATCTACTGTTCACAGGGTGACTGTGAGTCATAGACCAACCTGACGACACAGAACAATAACATAGTGTTACCATGAGTCAGTCACAACTGACTGGACAATAAACGCAACCCTATGAGAACCCAGTACTTTCTAAATAGGACGTGCAGTTCATCTCTGGAAACACAAGAGAACAGACCAAAACCAAATAAGAGAAAAGAAAAAAAAACCAAAACCCCAGCAACCCCAAACCCACACACACTTCATTCTCCTGTCACCCCTGGTCGTCGTCTTGCGTCTTTGGGTTAAGTGTCTGGATTAATCAGTACTCATTTCCTAGCAGGTTTTCACGGACCCTAGCAACCTCCAGCGGCACATTCGCTCCCAGCACGTCGGTGCCCGGGCCCACGCATGCCCGGAGTGCGGCAAAACCTTTGCCACCTCGTCAGGCCTCAAACAGCACAAGCACATCCACAGCAGTGTGAAGCCCTTCATCTGTAAGTTCGAAACTCCCCAGCCCTCTTCCCTGCATTTGTCTTTCCTCACTGGGATCAGGAGAGTGTTCAGGCTTGGCCACCAGGGGGTCACCACATTCGCTCTATATGGGGCTGTCCAGTAGGACTCTCTTCTATTAACAGAAAACCATTTATGGCCAGATCCATGGCGTTTTGTGTATGATCCCTAGGGGTGTTTTCTTTTAGATGAAATCAATAGCAGGTAGAGAAAAGAAAAGTCGTTAAATAATGAAAGGGAAGCCTCCCCGGGTTGTAAGATTTAATAGAGAGAACCAGATTTGTCTCACACTGTAAATGTTCATGGCTTTGTAAAAAAGGGCGAATAGCAGATATCCCTAAGCAAGATGAAGTGATAAAAACCTGTTCTGGGTCAGAAAAAGCTGGGCAGACCCCACCTGGCAAGTAGGCTGCTGACGCCCAGGGTGTGTGTGTGTGTGCGCGTGTGTGGAGAGAGTGAGAGAGAGGAAGGAATGCCCTTTAATCTCTGCATTGTTACCAAGCACAGGCTTCAGGTGGGTAGTTTTCCATTACTTTGCAAAGCAGAACATTTTCACTTCGAGGCTGGACACACTCACTGCTCCCCTGACCTGCCTTATGAAAGCAAACTTATAAGCCATATCTTTTCAGGAGAGGACCAGTCTGACCACCTGCCTAGAATGTCCTTGTGTAGACCGTTGGAGGAGCACATCTCAGAGGAAAACTCAGCCTTCTTGGGTCTCTTCTTCATTCCCCTCCTCCTGTATTATCTATTACGTTGGACTATTTTATGAGGAGAAATTCAGTGGTGCTCAAGACATCTGGGCAACAACTCTGGGTTTCTTTTGATCCATTAGTCGGCTGCACAATGACTCATTGAGTTAAACCACTAATACGACTTCAGGATTGATTTTGGAGCCAGATATACACAGAACTGGTTGAAGCGTACTTGGTTGTTGGCAAAACCTCCGTCTTGGGAACCCCTTAGAAAACAATTTTTCTGACAAGTGCCTGATTGTTTATATTATTAGGTCCATGAGACACTGCTACAGATCCATATGGAAAACACAATTACCCCAAACTGAGCCAGCACCGAGAAGTCGGAGCCTGACCCTCCTCTGGGCCTTGACACAGATCTCTTTTGTGGTTCCAGCACCAGGACAACTTCTGCTTCCCTTTCCAGCTCCCCTGGAGGCCTGTTTGCCCCTTTCTTCCTTCCCTTGAGTGGAGTGAGAAGGACTCGCAGGCAAACCAAAGGGTGCTAGACTTTCTCAGAACAATCTCTGTGGAAAGTCACAGGAAATAAAGCACACAATATAAGCTACTTTGCTCAGAAAGACATTCTTGAATCTAAGTGGTAATGCCCTAAGAATACAATTGTTAAGTGCTAAGAGCAGACAAAGTTAAGTAGTTTATTTATTTCTGATCTTTCAGAAATAAATTTTAGTACCTCTATTACCTTTCAGATGAAAATAACCCCAAGCCACCCAGTGAAGTAGACCAAGATGAATCATGATCCCTTAATGCCTTATTGCTTAAAGTAAATATCAGAAAATAGAGATTCTTATCATCTTGGATTCTGGGAACTGACATTTTGTGTTGGAATCCAGTGTCCCATGTTATAAAGTTGTAGGATGTCTCTTTCCAATAAGATTGAGTCAGTTATTTCCCATGAATGCCTTTTCTGTAATTATTGGTAAAATTTAAATAGCAGATTCCATTCTTCAAATATAAAGTCTGACAGAAACCCATGGAGTAATTATGAATAATGGCCTTGTAACTTCAGAACAAACAAGTCTGAGGATCAGGGCTTGGTGTGAGGAATTTGCAGTAGAGATTTGCCTAGAGTTGATATCTGTTTCGCACCAGCAGGCCACACACACGGTTTGCCCCCGCTGGTGTGTTTATGACAAATGTCTCTTGTTACAGTGTACCCCCAAGCTTGAGCCCAAAGTCACCAGTACTAGGCTAATTATTTAGGGCCTTTACCGAAATCCCCAGCCTTCCCAAATAGAAACCACATGCTCCAAGAGGCTGATTAGATTCAAAATAACCTCTTAATTTGTTTAATAAGTAGAAAAATGCAACTTTAAGTGCTGGCTAATTCCTTATTACTGAGAAAATTGCAGGAGAGCATAGCTATCAACATCCATTGAACACGTTTACCTGGAGGCCTCATGGTCTGTGGTAGGCCAGGCCTTCAGGTGATCAAAGCAGAGCCTCTGCCTACGGGGACATCCCAGACCCCAGGTTCTCGAGACCAAACACTCACGCTGCTCAACCGTGTGATGACGGCCAGCGTTGAGGAAAGTGAAACGCACCTTCTGTTACTCCCGTAGAGCGCAGGAGGCTGAGTTTCTGAAATCAACCCAGCTACCAAAGTCTAAGAACATTTGCATTAGAACAAGTGCAGGAAAACAGGACTTTTGCCAAAACAAAAGCAGTCTTTCAGAAATTTGCTCCTTGTTTAAGAAGACATGTTTAATTTGCTCCTTGTTTAAGAAGACATGTTTAATTTGCTCCTTGTTTAAATACCCGTGAAGACATTATCTCATTTCCATTGTATGCCCAAGAGAAAGGTGTGCTACCTTCTTCATAAATACACATTTATAATGCCAACATTTTATTTACTATTCCTTGTGAGTAGGACTAATATTCTTTGGGAAGGTGGTGTTCTCGCTCTATCTTCTGGCCTTAGTTAATGTTTCAAAGTATGTAAATAATGGACATTATACTTATCTATCTATATTTTTTTAGAGCAGACTATGGTTAATATATTTTAGTTGAATCATTTGAAAAGATATTCCCCATATTTTCTTTTACATTAAAATGCATGTTACAGCTCCTGCAATGTCATAGGCCGTCCCACAACTGGAAGCCCCTTTATTAGTACCAGGCACATTCATATCTCTAGCAGGTCATTTTCAATCTCTAGCAGTAAGAGATATATGTGTGTGTGTATATATATATATATATGCATTCACTCAGTACTTCCTTCCTAGAGAAATATGGGTTAATTCAAATTACAGGTGAATTTTACTTGCTTGAGAGTCTATAAAGACTTCTTTACAGGATTGGTTTTTCCCAAATTATTTTTGCTTTGACTTAGAAATTCAGTAATCTCCTTCCCTGAGAAGTAGTCATTAAATAAGAACAGTGTTGCATTCTGTCTTCAATTAAATGTCTTTATTTGGCTTAGCAATTATCAACAAGGAAAACCTACTTCTGCCCCTATGAAATGTATGCAGGCCTATATAAAGTAACCTTACACCTAAATTGGACCTGCCTCTACTAAGGTTCATTAAAACTGTGCTGCCTTGGGATTGGATATGACAATCCTGTTAGACTAAGAGGGGGAAGATTCCTGTGAAGATTCTTACCTAAAAAAAGTTCTTGAGGATTATGGAGTTTGGTCTTAGAAACAACTTAGAAATGTTCCTCCATGGGGAGAAGGAAGCTATTGTATTTTAGTGGTAAATTCTTGGGGAAGAGGAATTTCCCAGATGCACCCAGTGCTGTGCCCTTCTTTCTGGATTAGGGCCTTGGACATCCACTCCCTCCTCCCCTCCACACACACTTGGTTGGAGCCAAGACCTGAGATAAACAGGGAAGATATGACAGCAAGTGGACATATTTCCCAAGGACATGGGTTTCATAAATGCAGGAAGGTTAGCACAGCCACTGGTGTGAGGGGAAGTCAGACGACGTGATCACAGTTCATGGGAATCGGTGATGCAGGATGGGCTACATTCAATTGAGTTTCCTCTGCGGGCTTAAAATAGAGCTATTGTAAATTATGTCAGTCTTTCTCAAATCATGAAACCGATTTTTAAAAATGTCTCAGAATACACAATGTGCATTGTTGTGTGGCTTTGATGTGTGAATGATGAGAGCGTATGATATAATACAAGCTAAATAATAGTCGAACAGTCACGGGCTTTTTCCCCAAAGGGAGAGGGAATAAAGGTGAAGCTTCTGGCTGAGGGAGAGGCCCTTTTCCTTTGTTTCGAGGCCCGCAATCTAGAGTTCTCCAAATGATCTAGCCTGTTCTGTTATGTTTTATGCTTACCCTTCTTCAAGAGTTTTCCTTTTTAAGAGTCTGTCATTGTGACAGTGGAGTGGGCATATGACAGTCATTGCATGTTGGAATATGACACTTTCCTGTCAGTATTTAAGTACGCAGATGCTATGCAGGGGGGGATGCCCGAACAGTGATATGGAGGTATGAAATATTTGTGCTGCCCCAACACATTTGTCAGATTGGACGCCTTGCTTTGGAACCTAGTGAAACGGGATTATCTGTGTCAGGAGCACCCTGATTGGTGCCTCCAACCTCTCTTTCCGGCTTCCTGATGGACGTTTGGGGGTAGACCAATTGTGATGCTTTGCTAAATTCAGAAGCAATTGCCATAAAGCCTGAGATTCTCTTTTGTTGTTTGCACACAGGTGAGGTCTGCCATAAATCCTATACTCAGTTTTCAAACCTTTGTCGTCATAAGCGCATGCATGCTGATTGCAGAACCCAAATCAAGTGCAAAGACTGTGGACAAATGTTCAGCACTACGTCTTCCTTAAATAAACACAGGAGATTTTGTGAGGGCAAGAACCATTTTGCGGCAGGTGGATTTTTTGGCCAAAACATTTCCGTTCCTGGAACCCCAGCTATGGATAAAACGTCCATGGTTAATATGAGTCATGGCAACCCGGGCCTTGCTGACTATTTTGGTGCCAATAGGCATCCTGCTGGTCTTACCTTTCCAACAGCTCCTGGACTTTCTTTTAGCTTCTCTGGTCTGTTTCCTTCCACCTTTTACCACAGGCCTCCTTTGATACCTGCTAGTTCTCCTGTTAAAGGATTATCAAGTACTGAACAGACAAACAAAAGTCAAAGTCCCCTCATGACACATCCTCAGATACTGCCAGCCACACAGGATATTTTGAAGGCACTATCTAAACCCGTAGGGGACAGTAAGCCAGTGGAGCTCCAGCCCGAGAGGTCCTCTGAAGACAGGCCCCTTGAGAAAATCAGTGACCAGTCAGAGAGTAGTGACCTTGACGATGTCAGTACGCCAAGTGGCAGTGACCTGGAGACAACCTCGGGCTCTGATCTGGAAAGTGACATTGAAAGTGATAAAGAGAAATTTAAAGAAAATGGTAAAATGTTCAAAGACAAAGTAAGCCCTCTTCAGAATCTGGCTTCAATAAATAATAAGAAAGAATACAGCAATCATTCCATTTTTTCACCATCTTTAGAGGAGCAGACTGCGGTGTCAGGAGCTGTGAATGATTCTATAAAGGCTATTGCTTCTATTGCTGAAAAATACTTTGGTTCAACAGGACTGGTGGGGCTGCAAGACAAAAAAATTGGAGCCTTACCTTACCCTCCCATGTTTCCCCTCCCGTTTTTTCCAGCATTCTCTCAATCAATGTACCCATTTCCTGATAGAGACTTGCGATCCTTATCTTTGAAACTGGAACCCCAATCACCAAGTGAAGTCAAGAAACTGCAGAAAGGGAGCTCTGAGTCTCCCTTTGATCTCACTACCAAGAGAAAGGAGGAGAAGCCCTTGACTCCAGTGCCCTCCAAGGCTTCGGCGACGACTGCCACAAGCCAAGACCAGCCCCTGGATCTAAGTATGGGAAGTAGGAGTAGAGCCAGCGGGACGAAGCTGACTGAGCCTCGCAAAAACCACGTGTTTGGAGAAAAGGAAGGGAGCCACGTGGAAGCCAGACAGGCAGCCGACGGCTCCTTGCAGCACGCCAGACCCACTCCTTTCTTTATGGACCCCATTTACAGGTAAGACTGGGTCAGAGACACGTGGGGACAAATCCAGAAACGCGAGGTGTTGCACTAGAACGTGATGACTTTAAACAAATCATTTTTGTCATGGTTATAAAATGAAAGGTGACTTTGTTGGCCCTGGTGATTATTTTGTTCTCCCTAGAAGGTTGGCAAATTAGGTTGCGACTTGATTCTTGTGTCTCTGAAGCTGGGAGTTTGAAGTAGGCTCATGGAGTTTTCCCTTGACAATAAATTTCTTTTAAGCACCTTTTCTTTTAAAAAGTGGAAAATAAGGGAAAGTCGTATTTAAAGTAACTTGTTAAGTGGTAGAAGAATGAGGCTCCTGAAGGAATAATGCAAATATGTATATTTTAAATATGGGTGTTCAAAGGGCCAGTGGTATTTTGAATAAAATTGGACATACAGCAGCAAGAGTAAAATCTTCGCAACTCACCAACACGTTCTTAATAAACAGAGGTTACATCCTATTTCTAAATAAATCTCTTAGGACCCCAAACTAAATGAGATATTAACCACAACAATGTTATGTATATAATGTCCGTAATCGGCTTGAAAAGCATGTCTCTGCTTAGTGAGGGAAACTTCCCTTCATTATCTAGTTTCCTTTGATGCTTCCAAAAATTCTTTGAACAAAACTTGTGTTTAGTAATAAACAACCTCATGAACAATATCCTGTAATACTCATTGGGCCATTCAGAATGATGTAATTTTTCGGTAGATGGCCTAAGTAACAATACACGTGTTAATTATTACCAAGCTGTGGTGGTCTAGTGGCAAGAAGCTGTGCCGCAATCCTGAAGGTGTGTAGTTCAAGGCCACCAGCTGCTCCGTGGGAGAAGGATGTGCAATCTCCTTCTGTGCGATTAGCTGCCTCTGGAAACCCTCTAGAGCACCAGCTATGGGTCGGTTCCAACTCCATGGTACACCACAACAAACAACATATTTACTCTTACTCTCACTTTTTAAATGTTGTCAGGAATTAATGAAATGTGTGCATGATTTTTGGTATTAGATATATTTAAGATGAGAGTATTTGTGTACTTTTCCTGATTGTCTTTTATGAGAAGATGAATTTCTGCTATTCAATATTTATTGAGTTCCTATTACTTAATAGTTACTCAGACTACCAGGTTTGACCTTTTTTAAAATTAAGATTCTTCTTAAATTATCTACAGAATTAAGATTCTTCTCCTTAAACTATTTACAATGTATTAATAAAGAAATATTGCCAATGTCTGAAGACTTGTAGTTGTTGTTAGGTGCTGGCCGGTTGACTATGACTTGTAATCACACTATGAACACGATCTGAACCCTGTCCTGTCCTGGGCCACCCTCATCGTCTCTGACACACACAAGCCCATTGCCGCAGTCGTCAGTCCACCTGGTTAAGAGCCTTCCTCTTCCTCCCTGACCCTCCGTCTTACCAGGCATGATTGCCCTCTCCAAGACTGGCAGAGGAAATAGTGAAAGGCAATATATAAACTCTCTCAGAGGCTTCAATAATGTATTTGAGCTTTTTCTTTCCTTCAATTACAATTTCCTCATTCCCATCAGAGTTACATCACTAAAGAAGAAAAACGCATCTTCTGTGTTTTGTACGTAGATTGTATGTTACGCCTTGTTATTAAGGTGCTATCGCCAAATCAGTGAGCAATTTCAGTCTATTGCCAAACTAATTTCCAAGACTTTCTTTCCTTCCCAACTCTTCTTAATCTTCTTTTCGCTTGTTCTCTGTTTTATGTCTGATATTTCAGTCCCAGTTAAGATCCCAGTCCTGCCATTGTACCCAAACCAAAGTTTGGCATCAAACCTCAGTTTAAGTCTGTTTTCCAGTTCAAAGACTTTTTTAAATCCACAAAATAGGTAGATAATAGTATTTACTTTTATAAGTGGAATATTATGTCCAAAACATGTAGCAGGTACAAAGTTTCAAAATAATGATAGCTGTTTTTATATGTTTTGATTCTATTTTTTTTTAAATTTCAATAGTTTTAAAAATATATGTTTAAAGAAGCTACTTTAATATAACACAGAACCTCACAAGGTCATTTCTTGAAGTGTTTAAGGGAGGTGAGGAAAATTGGAAGAATCTTTTCTCAAAATCAATGTATTCAAATTTTGTAAATAAACTAGTATTAAAAATAACCAAAAACCCCCAGAATGACATTTTTTAAATGACATTTTTAAAGCATCACAAAGGACTTCTGGTTTTACATATCTCTTCCTATCTTCAACAATTCCTTGTCTTCCTGAGAAACCCTACTTATCAGCAGAGATAACTAAGGGAAGAAATTTACACCTCATGATGTGGTTAGCAGAGAGATAACAAAGTTGGAAACTCCTGTTCTCACTGGCCAATACGGAAAAAAACATAAGGAATAGTAGGGGAACGTTTTCTTACTAGAAAATGGCTTTATTGTTTAAAATCTATCCTGCCCTCATGATTCCTAAGCTGCCAAGGATTCTTGCCCACATATGAAAGGGAAAGGGGCATGATTTCTCACAATGCCCCCAGTTTAATGACTTCTTATTTTTCACATTTCCTCCATATTATTACTAGTCATTAAAGAGATCTCCCCCTCCCGTTATAAACAGGAGCTTATCTCTTTGAGCATTTGAGTGCTATGCGTATTCTTCAAGACTTAAACAGACATCTTGATATTTTTGCTAGTGTGTTTCCCAGAAACCTTTCATTTACTTATTGTTAGCTATTTTACATGTCAGTGATTATGTCATGACTGATCTGAGAATGATTCATCTCCAGCAAATCTAATTTTAACCTTTCAGAGTAGAGAAAAGAAAGTTAACCGACCCGTTTGAAGCTTTAAAAGAGAAATACTTGCGACCTTCTCCAGGATGCCTGCTTAACCCACAAGTAAGTATTTTGATTTTGAGACTTGAGGTTTGTCCACTAACTTGTTGATCTTGAGAAGCAGGTGCAGTAAAAAAAAAAAAGAAATCTTGAGCACATTAGGATTTCCTCTGACGCTGGTGTGGAAGAACACAGGAAGTTCTGGCTGAATTAAAGCCCAAGCTCTTTAAAGAAAAAGTGATTAATATACATGTATAAATAACAGAGTTTTGGTACTAAGTCATCATCTGCTGTTAATTACTTTTAGCGTTCCAGTGCAGTATTTGGATGAAGAGAAATTCAGTTAGGTAAAATCATATTGAAGGTGTCTTCTGTGTTTAAAAACTGCTGATACAAATACACAGATCATCCTGTCACTTATCCTAAACTCGTGATGGTCTTACTCTTCTACTGCTGAGATAAAAAACAGGAAATGGGTCTACCTGACAAGTTTACCAGAGAGGGTAAAGGAATTTATCTAGAGACCACTGAGCGTTCCAGCAAAGTTCTGTATTTACACAAGAATTCACCACGATACACAGAGCAATTTGCTGAATGAGGCTGTGTCCATTTATCAAAATAAATACAGTTGCTCAGATGCTCATTAGAAGAAAAAGACAGTGTTGTCTAATTAGTGCATCTCTGTTTCTAACATGTTTGTGTGGTTTATTAGAAACAATTGACTTATATATCAGTCACCTTTGGAGAATTAGCTAGTAGAGCAGATATTATAATTATCTTAAAACTGGGGAGGGAGTTTGTTTATATTTGGTTTATTTTTATTTAAAGTATACAGAATAAGCAAACTTTTCATTAACATACTTGAAATAGTGTGAACCGATTTATTTCATTGTGGTCTGTTCACATTCAAGGTGTTTCTCTGCCTTTTAGGCTAAGATTTTTGATTGGTTTTCTTCCCTTTCTGATTCCTCTTCTCCGCTTTTGAAAATACTTTTCTCTTAAGGTCTTAAATGACAGAGTGCCATATATTTGCACAAAGACTGTTGTGAGCAAAGATAGACTAGGGGGATGCTTAGTGAGGATGCTTTTGAGGAAAGGTGAGAAGAAACTATAGAGGTGCCTGCCCGCACTACCTTTCTGGCAGTTTGAATTCTCTTTTGGAGGAAAGAATAGTTGACAAAACCACGACGGGCGTGTTGTGTGTGTAAAAATATGGTGTATGATATTGATAAAACTGTACCTCCTGTGTTAGCTGGAGCAACCTATCATCGGAAATGTTCCCTCTGTTGGCCTGGTATACTTGTTTTGGGAAAATGTATACTTCATTTGGTATTAACAGGCTTGAACATATTCTTGTATTTATTTTATCTAGGAAGGTTAAGGATGCATATGATTTATAAAAATATATATGAAAAAGAAGTTAGTTCCAAAGTGGTAAATGTTTACCAGATATGGGGTTTTGTCTCTCTGCTTTTGTTATTTTGTGCCGTTGAGTTAGACCCGACCCATAGCTGCCCCTCAGGTTTTCAGAGGCGGTAAATCACTCGGGAATAGGTTCCCCATCTTTCTTCCACAGAGCAACGGGGTAGATTCGAACTAGGCAGCACTTTCTTACCACTAAGCCACCAGAGTCAATTGTGTATAGTTAGGCTGATCTAAATGATTTCTATACTATTATTATTATTATTTCTAAAACCTGTACTAGTCTGGGAGGGTCTTTGGAGAGGATGTGAGGGCACCAGGGTTCTGGTACAGACATGTTTTGTTTTTATAACATCATGGCTGCTTCAATGTTAAGTGACTATGTTTCACCAGAATGCTAGTGGTATAAAGGCAAGTGCCAGGGGAAAAAATGGGTTCAGCTTCCATTTTCATATGAGTCTTTAGACCAATCTTTCCCCGCCCCCTTGTAAAATCTGCTTTAGCCCTAGATGTTCAAAAGTTCTAAAAGAATCTGGTCTTCCTCAGATTATCTATCAAACCTATTTCAGCATCAAAATCCATCTTGCTGGAGTCATCGTAAGCAGCACTGTTTGTTCACATAGCATTTAGTACTTATAGTATCCCTAGCATATATGTGGAAGAATCTAACTAGGAAAGCCTCTTCTTGTGAATGCGTACATATTCTATATTTTCATATGAAGGAATCTCAGTAAAATAATCTTTTCCCATGCTCAGCACCACACTTCTCTGCCAGGGCTGTCCTGCGCATCTAGGGGTATTTGCAATTATGTTCTTGCCTTTACCTCACTGGACCACAGTAACCGTGACACGGAGCATGAAGCCAAAACACAAGGAATTTCTTCTGCTCCCAGGGTTTACCCTGATCCCACAGTTGTGGACGTACTTTGATAAGACTGTTCATGACTTCTTTGCCCCTTTAAAGAATAATGGAGCAAACCACACTCTGGACTCTGAACCTTAAAAATCAGAATGATAGCTACCCTATCTGTTTGGGGGATTATCATTATGATAAGAAGGGGGCTATTTATTCTCGGCACTTTTGAGAAATTGTTCATTAATTGACACATCAACACTTGGCAGAGATAGTTTGCAAGGATGATTTTATAATGCTTGAATATATTTGAGTTTTACCCAGCACATTCCTGTTTAGACCACAAAACCTATTTAATGATAGGTGAGTCCCTTCAATATATAAGTCATTCGATTTTTCCTGAAAGGCTATTTGGGCATTGTTGTTGTTGTTATGTGCTGTCAAGTCACCTGCAATTCATAGCGACCCTATGCACAACAGCCCTAAACTCTGCCCTGTCCTCTGACAATCGCACTGTCTCTGACACACCCACCCGATTACCCCAGTCACTGAATCAATCCATCTCATCGAGGGTCTTGCTCTCCTGCGCTGTCCCTCCACCTTCCCAACTATGACATCCCTTCTCCAAGGACTGATCTTGCCTTAAAACATGTCCTAAGTATGCTAGACAAAGTTTCAGAATCCTTGCCTCCAAAGAGCAGCCTGATTTAACCCTCTTCAGGGAGAACCTGTTCGTTTTCCTAGCAGTCCATGGTATCTTCAACACTCTTCTCCAGCAATGCAGCTCAAAGGCATCAATTCTCCTTCTGTCCTCCCTAGTCATTGTCCAGCTCTTTGACACATAGCAAGTGATTGCAAAGACCGTGGCCTTTATCAGGTGCACCTTAGTCTCCAGAGTGACATTGTTGCTCTTTAGTACTTTGGAGCGGTCCCTAACAGCAGACTTTCCCATTGCAATACATCTTTTAATTTCCTTTTTAATTTTGGGCTTTAGAAATGATAATATATGATTATGTATTATTGTCATGGCAGGAGTCCAGAATGAAGGCCGCACAGTGCAGTGGACTTGGGAGGAAGGCTTGTATAACAATGAAAGAGTTTTTCTTTTACTCATCAAGGAGAAAAGTGAACTGGGGGGCGGGGAGGAGGTGGCCAGGGAGAAAAGTGCAATAATGAATGACTGGAAACCCTAAGTCTCTGTAAACCTTCATTAAAATTAATTTTTTTAAAAAAGAAATAATATATACCCTAAAACTCCTTGGAAATAAAGGCTTAACAGACATGCAAATATATGCATCAAATTCAAAAGGTAAATGCAGATTTAAATCATTATGAGAGTCTGAATTCCTCTGTTCAGCTCTTGACATACAAGTCTTGATATTCCATCCGTTACCAATGAGTCTGTCCGTGGAGTTCCTGAGGCGGGGAATCTTTACGACGGGAAAAGGTGGCCATCTTTCTCTCATGGAGTCACTGGTGAGGTCAAGCTCTGACCTTTCCCTCAGCAGCCCTTGGTGTTACTAACTTCACCACCAAAACTCCTTTTGCTGTCCCCACATGGTTTTGTCTGTCATCACAAAAGCCGGGGACAATGTAACCTTTTCTTTTCCACTTTAAATAAGTTCATTTATTACAAAGGAAAGATAAGTACTGTAAAGGCTTGCTCTTGAATCTGTGGTTTAAAAGTAGTTGTGGTGCTTTGTTTTAGATTTTAACGTTGAAACAGAGATGAGAGCCACATGGAGATAAAATAGAAGAAATAGTATTGGGATGTGAGCTTCACAATGTTCATTGAACGAATTTCCATATAAGCCTCTTTTCATTCCTATTGATAGTTTATCTGAATGATCAGAGAAAGAATTTGGTAATTATAAAGCTATTATTCCTTGGCTTTAATTTCTTACTTTTATGCGGAGTAGGATGAACCATCTCCTCCTATTTGATTAACTGCCTCTGAAAACCCACTGGAGGGTCAGCTATGCATTGATTCAAAAAAGCTTGATGGTACAAAACAACAACATACCTTTTATATCTATGTATCTATCTGTCTATTTCATCTATATCATCTATCATCTATTATCTTTCAATCTATCATCCATCTTATCTGTATCTATCTATCAACCATCCATCTTGTCTGTATATCTCTCTCTATATCTAAAATACTATTGTTTTTATATAGAGACATATATATTATAGCCAAACATACTGGATTATTTATCCATTTTGTTCTCAAATATCTGACTTTGTATATATCTCCAGCAAAGATTCTCTACTTATATTTTGACCTTTATTTGTTGATAGTTTCTTTCTTATGTTGGGGTATCTTTTTACTATGTGCCAGAGAATTAGGAATGGATAAGTTACGGAAAGTCTTTTCTTAAATTATCATATATATTAATGTGAAAAATAATTTGTCTTTGCCCCACCATCTCTGTTTAGCATTAAATAAGTATTTATTTTTAGATTTTCAGTGTTAAAACTTTAAGTAACCTGCCCTTCTTATTAAAGATATGAAATCTTAGGAAAAAATAATGGTATTTTTTTAAAGGGCATAACCTCTGTGATTTCCTGAAAAAGCTTATAATTCCCTGAAGTTCTCCTAGTGAACCTTTCTAGTAAATACTAGGTTTTCTTGGCTATCTCAGTTAACATTCTTAGGCTTTCTCACTAGTAATTATTTGAACCACATAGGGTCAAGTAGTATATTTCCAAATGTAATATTTTTGTTATCTAAAAATTCATATTTTGAATAAATACCTCTTTCCTTTGTTACTAACTTTCTAAAAAGAAGAGATTTTCATGTAATGAATTAAATGAGTTCATTTTTAAGTATTGATGTAAATATTAGGAATATTCTTTTGCAGTCAAGAATGCAAATTTAAAAGGGAGCATCTATTTCAGCTTCAGTAGTACAGAGTATTAAGTTTCTTGGCTGAAAGAACACTGTATTTGATAACCATTATTCTATAATTTAATTTAGGTAAGTAGAGGAAACTCGGCAGTATTTTAAAAATGTTTCCTTTTCATTTCCAAATATTTTACTCAAGGTTTAGTTACATGATAAAACAAATTAAAATAAATGCTAATTTCTCAAAGGATAGATTGCAATAAAGATATCAACACAGAAGTAATTTTTGTTTTTGTTTCAATTTTGCTCCCAGTTACAACTGCCTGATCAGAGAACTTGGGTAAGTTTCCTACTTCTATTTTTGACTGAAACAATGTGGCATTAAAAAGAAAACCATTTACATTCTGAATTGCAATACAGATGAGAAGTGCACGGAGCCCCCTCCACTAAGTGACATGGCAGCAGCAAATGTCTTCCACGTTTGTCAAATTGCATAGTGCCTTCATTTATAATTGGTCGTTTACGTGCTACAAATTATTTATAGAAAGAGGTTTATTCTATGCATTTGACCCATACCTGGTAATTATTCCTTGATGTGGAACTTTTTCCGGGTACCTGGGAACATGTTGTTAAAAGAGGCTTCGACATGGGTCAGTAAGTGAAAACAACCACTATTTGGGGCGACGCTTTCACCAGCGTATTAAAGATGCTTTTGATAAAAGTTTCTGAAGGATAAAACCTCCACTTAGATGTAGACACAGGCTGACATTAGAATCCGCAGCCATCTATCCCAGGGCAGAAATTGGTTCTGCCTATTTGAAGAAATAAGGCTAAATGCTTAAAAATCCGTATCTGCCTAGTAAATGGATGTTTTAGCATGGAGCCTCACTTCCTCTCCTTTCCATTACTGTTCCTGCATTCAGTCAATTATTAGTTAGTGGTCCTGGGGACAGCTTTGCTCTTTATTGGAGAAGACAGTCAGTAGACAGAGATTTTTTTGTGTATTTAGTTTTCACCTGCAACTAAACCTTGGGGCCATTGAAATAATATATGTTCCACAATTTCTTCAAATACTTTTACTTCTCTTTATTCTCTTTTTCATTAAAAACTATGCTGGATTCTGAAGGATGGAGAAAGCATTTAATTGGCTGTAACTCAGTCATGCTATAGCTTCGTAGAAATGAGTGAAGGCTACAGCACTTGAGTATTTACCTGTTTCTTCTTTCTAATGTTAGCTTTTCTTTACCACCAAAACCTCCACTTTATTCCTTCATTCCTTCTATACAATATGTGATTAACTGCAATTTTTTATTGTTCTGACAGAACTTTTTTTCTTTTAATTTTATACTAGCTTACTTACAAAGTTTATAAACATTGTTTTTCACATTGGATCTTTCCCATTTCCTTAACTACCCCCTTCCCTCCCCCCATCAAGTTTATGACCCTATGATTGCCCCCCCCAACCTGATACCTCTGCCCCCGCTTAGATCCTCATAGATGTTTAACTATTTATCTATTTCTTCACTTTTAAGTGTCATGTTCATTTAACAAAATTTTATTGTTGTTTTTTATTGCTGTTAAGTAACCCTAGTAACAAAAAGCCTTTCTAGAACTAGCGTCATTTCTCCAACTTCATAGAGTTTCCAGAGGCATGTGGTTTAGGAAGTGGATGCCACTCCTGCTTCCAAACTTGAATCAGTCTGAATCAATCACGATGGGTAACCATTGTACAGTGTTAGGCCACCTATGGCCCACTTGTTCCAGTATGGCATTTGAGACTCCAATGGCAAACGGTTCAGTGTCACAGCAAACCCAGATTACTTCAGCAGAGCAAACTGACCAGAGTGCTGTAGGACATAGAAGACTGTTCCTCCAAAATAATAAGAAGGGATTAAAATATAATCCCTCGACCCAACTTTTAAATATAAGGGCCCTTAGTTAGAGTTATGCAGTGTTGTTTTTATGTGCCATAAACCCAACTCCTAGCTAAGTCTCCAGAAGTTTTTCAGAGGCTATAAAATGTACAAGAGGATTGTTCATCTTTGTTCTAAGGAGAAGTCGGTGGATTCAAACTGTCTACCTTTGAGTTGGCAGTGTAACTCCTTACCCCTTGACCACCCTTCTCTCATCATTCCTGCCTATGTCTTCCTCTGACCTTCCATGTAGAGGTTTGCCTGGGTGTCTGCTTCTCCTGCCTGAAGCCTTTATTGATTGAAACGAACTCCATTTCTTTAGCGGCTTTAAGTTTAACGTATTGTCCTCCATGGATGGCTAATGATTCTACAAATGTACAAACCCTATGCAGATTTTCACTCAGATTCTCATTCCGGATACAACTGCCTTTGCATTCATTAGGTGGGAATACACCCATTCTATTGAATCAGAGGGGTTTTGTTCTTTTTTTTTTTTGAGTTATAGTTTACGTTTATGTTCTAAAATTTGAGGAGCCCTGGTGGTACAATGATTAAATCCATGGCTGCTAGTCGAAAGGAACACTCCAGCCTTTCCATTGTAAAGTGTACAACCCTGGAAATCCCAAGGGACAGTTCTTTTCAGTAATAGAGATTAATGTGTGTTCGAACCAATGTGACCACTATGGATATCACTATAAAACATAGATATTAGTGGGAAGTATTAAAGGCATATCTTTATAATTTTGGGGAGAGAAACTCTAAATGGTTTCATGATTATGACAGATATGATACATGGAACCAGATAAGTCTAAAATGAGAATAGTTCCTTCTCTCCCAAATGACCATGATTTTGAGATTTGTCAAGATTATCAAGTGAATTAAATATAGAAAACTGGTAGATTACAACTTTCCCAACATAAGTTATTTATGAAAGGTTAGTTATTTTATGATAAAAGCATGTGCAATCTAATTTGTGAAATATTAGGGTACCTTACTCATTGAGCTGCTGTACATATCATTTCATAAAATCAGGCTGTCACTTTAATAGTTTTAGTAGGAAACTTTTATCATCAATTATTGGCTGTCAGATAATAAATATTAATCTGAATGCGTAGGTCCCACTTGATGATATCTTGCCTGTTGAAATGTTTTTAAAATACTTTATTTAACTAGAGAGATAGCCGCATTTTTTTTGTAAGGGCTAGGGAATTATGTCTAAGTATTAGTTTGCGTCAGTATAAAGTTAATAGCCTCTCTGGGACTGAAAGGGGGTAAAACAACTTCCTCTTCCAGACATCTGACTGCAGATACCATCAACAACTATTATATATGAAAATAAAAATTACTGTTGCATAGGGAAAAAAAACACTGTCACTTACTGATATGAGATTAGTCTATGACATTAATGGGTCACAAAGCAATTTTTCTAAAATAAGAGATCTACAATTTTTTCTTCTTTATTTTTCCTATTCCCAGCAAATTTCACTTTTCATTCTCTTATTTATGGTGGTATGCATTGCCCTTGTCATTTAAACAGAAAATTATATAGCTAATTTCTGCCTTGCTTATCCCAATTTGCCTTGATTTTTAAAACATTAAGTCAGATGTCAACATAAATGTCAAAACTTACTACTACTTTTATAAACTGTATTATTTATGAAGGAACAGCATAGGAGTCAGTCTAGAGCCCAGAAGAAAGTTGGAGTTGGACTCATACGTTTGATGGTATTGTTGTTACGTGCCATGGTGTTGAGTATGACTCGTAGTGACCTTATACACAACAGATCTGAGCCCTGTCCTATCCCTTGCCAACTTCACAATCTCTGACATACTGCTGCAGTCCATTGCTGCAGTCACTGTACCAATCCACCTGGTTGAGGGTCTTCCTCTTTTCCATGTTTTCGAACAGAATCTCCTCCTCCAAGGAATAGCCTGGCCTAGCAACAAGCCCAAAGTATGTGAGAGGAAGTTTCACCATTTTTGCCTCCAAGGAGCATTGTTTCTTCACCTTCTCCAAGACACATCTGTTCGCTCTTTTGGCAGTCCATATTCAGTACCCTTCTCCAGCACCACAGCTTAAAGGCATCAATTCATCTTCTGTCATTCTTAGTAATTGCCCAGCTCTCAGATGCATAGCAAGTGGTTAAATATACCATGGTCTGAATCAGGCACACCTTAGTCTCATACGAGGGACTGTAGTGGCTTCAAATTAAGAAGCTGTGCTGCAATCCCAAAGGCAAACAGTTTGAATCCACAAGCTGCTTCCTGGGTGAAGGATGGGCAATCTCCTCTTGTGTGATTTACTGTCTCTGAAAACCTGCTGAAGGGTCATCTATGAGCCGGTTCTGACTGGATAACACACCACAACACCTGTTAACAGTGCTTAAGAGGGAATAGGAATAAGAATGCACTTGGTATATCATCTTAATCCAAAAGCATAATCTGAGGTTGGTCCCAGTGTTGTGTAACGCCCACAATTAGAAGGGATCTAAGCCACTACTTTCTTTCCTAATGGAGGAACGTATTCTTTCCAGCTGAGGCAAAGTGCCATGAGAATAAATTTTACGAAGAATGAGAGGAAAGATTCAGTGATGACTTTTATTCTGCTTCAGGGGTTGCTAGCTGAACAAAGAGACAAAGGTGTTACTGGTGACCTTCCAATTCTTTCCCATCTTTTTTCTCTTCCCCGCCCCGCCCCCCCCCCCCCCCCCCCCAATTCTCTCCTCTTCTCGTTTGACAGCAGAAGCTCAAGCTGAGGCGGTTTTTTAAGAGAAGCATTTGAATAACCCCTATTTTTTTTGTATGATCTTTAAGAATGCCATTATGTAGTCATCAAGCTCATAATCTGTGTTCCTATTTCTTAATGGTTTTCCCAAATCAAAACAGTTTGAGATAAACTAATCACAGTCATCTTTCTTCCAAAGGAGAGATTAGCAGCTACTAAAGCAAGACACATTTCTCAACGGCCCGTTGCTCTGTAGTACATTGAAGGACTTCGAGTTTTCTGTGGTCTGGATGAAAGCTGAGAAAAAGAATGGTCATGAGTCAGCTATTTTCCATATATAAGAAAGCGTGTTTCTATAAGACGTTGCCATGGCAATCTGTGTCTGTCAGAAGCGCAGACGCTTGAATGATTTAAAACCACTAGATAATGAAACTTTACTGAGATATTAAATGTACATAAATTAAACATTTATAACCATCATCCACACACTTACTATTCTTCCCAATAAATACATGTGACAATGACCCTCACCCTTGCTAATCAGTTTGAAGGCCAGGGGTCGTTTTTCACTCAGAGAATTTATTCCACGACACAGATGAAACATCGAAATTATTTTCCATAAGGAACACTTAAGAGGAATGCATTTAAATGGTATCGCCTATTTTCTGATTGGTTTTTCCTAAAATCCAATGTGATGGGGAAATGCTAATGTCCCGGCTGGGGGTGAGGGTGGGGATAGTGGTCACATTCAGCAGAGATGGGTTTCCTCCATCTGCTCTGAGAAGCAGCAGCAGCATTCCATTTCTCTGCCCCATGATCAGTTTGTGTCAAAATCCTTCATCGTGACAAATGCGCTGTCCACTTGCATCTGTGCAGAATGTTTTAGCAGCTGAATGATTATGAAGCAAACCCCTGAGCTTCGAGCCCCGACTGCCTCCCCATGCGTTCACATTTGCTGTCTGACAAGTAAATGGATCTTGACTTTCCTCTGAGATATATATATATATTTTTTTTTTTAACACCATATTCGATGAAAGACATTTGGCAAATTGGGAGTGGTACCCTGCACATTGTAATTTGTAGCTCACATTAGAAGTCTGGGCATGAAATGAGAGGGCAGGCTGCAGGCTAAAGGGAAGAGAGAGAGCTAATGAGAACATGAATAGTCATTTGAAGAATCAAGCCTACATCATTCCCTTTGTAAGAGGGGGACCTTGTTCACGTTCACACAGTCTACAGGATGTATTTCCCACATTTCCTTTTTAAGTAGGAAAATTTCTCTTTCCATTTTTGACCTTGAGGTCTCTAAATCAGGCCACTATCTCTACCCTGCTGTCTCATCAGCGAAAGAATGAGTCATTTGGGTTGACCAGTTGCAAATGTGCAGTTATAGGGATGTCTGATGGCCTAGTGGATAAGGAGCTGGACTGGCCAACTCAGTCAACAGGTGGTTCAAATCTACCAGCTGCTTTTCAGGAGAAAAGATGGTTAATCTTCTCTGATGCAGTTGATAGCCTTGAGAGACTCTTCTCCCCAGGAGAGTCAGCTGTAAGTTGGTTCTGACTGACTCAATGGCGATGAAAGTGAGGTCAAAGCTCTTGCATGGAGTCTTTGGATCTGTTATTCCAGCACAATGTGTAAGGCACAGAGTGCACATACTTCTGTGAATAGTTTTTTTAAGCTCCCCTGTGACTTAAGTGCCCTGAGAACTAAGTAAGAAATAGATAAGCTAATTTACCACGGTGATCTGAAAGTTTAGTTTCTTTTGACTTAAACATTCAGTAGTAAAGAGCTTCCAAGTAAAATGTGAAAAGTGAGGGAACTGCATTTTGGGAAGGTCAAAGGAAATGGGTTCATGACTGTATCAGTGGCATTAGAGACTAAATTTATTTAAAAAGTAAATGATACACTTTGGTCATGACATTGCTAAACGTATGTACAGATGAATTAAAAACGTCCAGATTATAGGTGAAAATATTAAGTTGTTGGAGGGGAAGAATTAGGTGAGATAGTTTTTCTTTAAGAATATTTTTCTAAGCATATAGTTACACTAACTGCTCCCTTTTTCTTTTAGCACAAGCCAAGTTATATGAAGTTAAAATAATATAGGTTATAATGAACTGTCATGACAACTCATTCTTTGTCTACAACAAATTAATATTTCATCAACATTCTTTGCTTATGAGCCCATTTGAAAATCTGGGCTATCCAGATATTAATTTAACACAGTCTTAGGCAGTATGCCTCTTACATACTTAATTTTTTTTCTTTTCTTTCTGGGTTGCACATATTTGGCAAAAGCTGCAGCATTTGGAATGCTTGATGTTCTTTCATACTGTGAGCTCTTTCCTTATGACTCTGTGGTTCCTGGAACTTGTCTCTGTAATCTGTAGTTTGTTGTTAAGATCCTTAATAGAATAGTGATACTATCAGTTACTTTGTTGTTGTTATGTGCCTTCCAGTCGCTTGTGACTCATAGCGACCCTATTACAACAGCCCTAAACTCTGCTCTGTCCTGTGCCAATCGCACTGTCTCTGACACTGCCATCCCGATTATCCCAGTCATTGAATCAATCCACCTCATAGAGGGCCTTCCCCTCCTGCGCTGTCCCTCCACCCTCCCAAGCATGATGTCCTTCTCCAAGGACC